TGAAAGCAATCGAGTTCGCGTGGAGCTGAGAAGGTGCCGAGTCTAGATGACTAAATACATCCACTTGGAAATCAGTGAAGGGAAACCTCAACCCAATCTCCTTGAAGACATATTCATACACAGGAAAGCGCTCGACATCATAATTCTAGCATATCTGGTCCTCTTCCTCGGGAAAGTCGACCCTCTAGTCTCCTTCCTCCCCCATTGTCGTGAAGGCATCCTAATTATGGAAGGCAAAAAGGAAGGCATGCTCCCGAGGCTCAGCAACGATCCACCCTTGCCCGATACTATTGGGAGAAACGATTTCGTCAGTATTCCTGGGAGCAGCGATTTCATCGGCATTCCTGGGAGCGGCGGTTTCCTTGGAACTACTCTTATAAGATAGATCCCGCTCGAGCATGACATTATCCTCAGGTTCGCGAGACATCTCCTTTACCTAAAAAGCAGAGGACAAAAGTGAATTCGATGGCAAAACCAAATCCACCCTTCCACCGCTAGTCAAGTGAAAAGGTACGCTAAGGCCCGAGGATGACGTCTTCGACCTGAGCCCCTACTCAAACGACATAATGAAGGTGCAAGGAGATTCTTCGGGACAATCCCTTGAGCCCTCACAAGGAGATCTTCCTTGACATTTTAACCAAAATTTTGTTGAAGGTCCACCGGAAAACTCATGAGTACACCGGAAACTCCCTAAGTTCTACCGGCGACAAACTCGCTCGTCGTCGCAACGGTGCTGAAATCAACAAAAAACATAAATTCCTAACACTCTGACGACGGTAACAGGAAATGGATCAACCACCGCCAAACACCAACATTCTCCAGAATGCACCCCCAATTCTACCCAGTTTCCATCCTAACCGCATGTAAATCTAAGCAAAATAAGATTGAAACTTGCATAAAACAAAAAAGGACAAGAAACTCACATGGCCGAAGAGGTAAAAAGGGTGATCGGCGAAGCTAAATTGGTTCTTGTTCGGCTGCGTGTGGCGGTGGGCGACGGAAACTACGACAACAACTGAAGAAACAGAGTAAAAGACGAAGGAGAAGAGAGAGAGAGAGAAGCGAAAAGTAGAAATTAACACTTTCCCCTATATTTATAGGCCACTCAGGATCACGTGCACGCGCGACGTAGGGGGATCATTACGACCATAGCATAGCCGTTATTATGCATTAAATGCGGCACGTGGCTCGATGCAAGCATAGCGCTCCACGCCTTCAAGTCCCATCAATTGTTGGACTCCCCGCTTGTCGGGCACACACTGGACAACGTTTTGAGTTCCTCGGGCATGTATGTCCTCGAGCATCACAGAACAACCACGTCTTAGGATCACAATTTGCCCTTAAGTCATCACTCTTATGCCTAGGAGCAACGACTTTGGGGGATCCTATTCCAGACTGGCCCAACGGCTAGGCATGACCCAATCCACTTTTGCACCCAGAACGGGCCAATAGCCCGAGTCCTGCCAGTTGAGGGCAAAGGAAATCACTTTCTCTTCTGCCTGTCAGCCAAGGAGATTTGACTAACTGACCCTAGGATCAACTGCCCTTCGTTACATATCTGCTCATCACACACGATTCATCCATCCAGGAACGACAACGACGCCCTTACCCGGAACCACGCCACTGCTCGAAGCAACAACTAGTTTCGAGCATGTCTTCCCGTCTCAACGACTAGTTTTTGGTAGTTGCCTATTCTTGGAAAGCAAATATCTCTCCCCAAAAACAGGGGTCAATGGTCAAGCGTTGATGGCATTATAAAAACCCTCTCCTTTGAGAGGGCCAAATATTCAATATTCAATCCAATAATCACCATAAGAAACACTTATTTTGTACTTGCCTTATCATCTTTCGACCTTTACTTTAGCATTATAGTGCCTTGCAGGTACACCCCCATCCTCCTCGGTTCTAGCATCGCAGACGAAGTCTCTGGCCCACTTCAATAAATATTTCTATTAAAAAAATTGATTTCACTAAATGAATGGTGGCGCGGTGGGGATACTTGAACCCAACCCGAACCCGTTTGAGACGAGTTTGGGTTTTAAGTCTCCATCCCCGTTTGGGTTTTAAGTGGAGAATTTGGATTATTTGGGGATTCAGGTTTGGGGTTATGAGAGGTAAAAACCGTCCCCGACTAGCCCTGTTGCCATGCCTACTGCTAGGCGACTTGCTGATCGCCTCAAATTGTACTAATTAACTCTTAAGGAAGTGGGTATTTTAGGATTAGGTAAAAGGTGGAGACAACTGCCTCCAGCGTGTTAAAGGTGGTTCACCCAAGAATGATGTTGTATGGTGAATAAATGTTCACAATAAGGTAATTAACATCAATCGCCTTAGAGTCTATGCCCTCGCCACTTGTGGTTTTTATGGTTACATTGGACATTATTTGCACTTGTACGATTGACATCCCCCTTAACGAACCCTTGAATGTTTTAATTTCGTAGGGGTCAAGTTACAACTCATGGTAGGCGTCCCAAAACAGGACGTTAGCATAACTACCCACATCTATCAAGATGCACCTGACATCCCAATTGCCATGTTGCACTATGATGACCAATGGATCATTGTTGTAAGGGTTTAAACCTTGGGTGTCCTTCTCGAAAATGATGATATCAACCCATATTTCCCCTTGAGAGCTTTTGAGGAAGCTATGAAATATTACATTTGTTGCAAACACTTGCCTTACATATTTTTTCCTGGAAGATATAGAGTTGCCCCCTTCGGTGAAACCTCTGACGATGGTGTTTGTGTTATACATTATGCTTTTATCGGCCATCTTCAGTGGGAAGATGAAGGGAATTAAAGTAGGAGCGTGATCCGAGTTAGTTTTACTAGGGGCCCATGGTGGACGCCACTTTACTTGTTAAAAATTACATGTGTGCGTGTTTCTCGTGTAAGGGTAAGGGGACTCAGAGGTCACAACAAGTTTATAACACGATGTGGTGATTAGGGCTTGGTTACGACTACGAGAATCCTTGTACGGTGGTATTTTGGGGCTGTTTAAGAGACTTGCTCACACAACGTGAAAGATTCTGATGATGACCGATGATGCTTGGTAGCAAACATGTAGTTATAGACAATCGTGTATTAAGATTGTAGTGGGTGTTATGCTCTTTAGGTGTAAAGATTGTGTATCACTTAGGGTCTGTTCATTATCAATTTGAGGGAAGATATATTTATAAAGGCCTATACGACATATGTTCTATTGGAAGGGGTCACCGCCCACTCAGTCAATGGTGGACAGTTGAATCCATATTTCTAAGAAAGTCGTGATTCAATTAATGACTTGGATTTTTTTCTCTACCTAAGAAGAGTCTTATCCCACGTTTCCCACTTAGGAACGAAGGGAGACCACGGGGCGACATGATACCTCCTTTTGAGCAATATTCTAACGTCGCCTCCTTTGGGGCGGTCCTTTTGGGCAATATTCCTTAAACCATATGCTTAAATATCTTTATAAATACCTCTTGCCCAATGTGAGAGAAGAGAAATCATAACTTACGAAAAATAATGCATAAACACATAACTTCTCACCTCACGCGAGTTGACTTTCTCATCACCATAAACATCACCTAGTAGAGCCTTTCACCGCTGTGAGAAACCCTAACCACCGAAAAAAATACTACGCCCCATAGTTATCCACACTAGCTTAGGGGCACCACACACTCTTATACATTTTAACAAATACAATCTTGCTTGAAAAAAATTATGTTTAGATTTATCCACAGTCCTTTTGAAGACAATCAAAACGAAATTCATGGTAAAGTTTGACACATCTACTTAACATTGATATCTTGATTCATAATTATCCTCCCCAAAATTTAGTAATATCCCGGCGCAAACTATGTTTGAGCTTTATTTTAAATTTATAGGTTTTTTCATCTTATTTTCTTTTATTTCAGCTCTATAACAAAAATAAAATTCAATTTTAAATATGTAGTAGAGATTAGAATCTTAGATCTAGTAATCTCATATGATAAAATATAGGTAACCAAAATTTCCACTTCTAAAATTTTATGAATTAAAACATATATTTTATTATTTTCTGTTTCTCATTTTTATCTTTATTAAGTTAATTAAAAATAAATAAATATTAATTGATTTTATTTTTTATATCACTTTATATTTATTAGATAATTCAATAATTAATTGATCAGTTAATAACTTATCAATTATCAATTTGATATTATCCGCCATAAATCATTTTTTACCTTTAGTATAAACGCATCTCATTTTCTTTACTTATATAAAAAATATCAACAAATTTAATATGTTTAATTATATATTTTTCTTTTAAAATATACTTTATATATATTCATATGTATTAATTTAAGGGTAATGCCAACTTATGTCCTAGAGGCACAAGTTAAGAAACACATTTATAGTAAGTTTGTATTAGAAACCTCAATAAAATATTAAGTTTTATATTTTTATTAAAAGCAGGGTACAAGTTAAGAACTAAAAATAGAAATTAAATTTTGGAAATTGTGCACTCAGCCTATTTTTATGGCTGATTTTTATTTATAATTTTGATCCGGCATTGAAGTAAATAATCTACCTAAAATACAATCCGCATTGAAGTCTCTTAATTATTCTTCATTACAGGAAGCCCTTAATTATTCTTCATTACAGAAAGCCCTTAATTATTCTTCATTTTTATTGTTTAAGAACTCAAACGATTTTTGTCCTAATCTGCAACAAATATTGGGAATCTCCAAAACGACGCGCTAATTCCATTTTGTTATTTACGTTAGTAATAGTACGAATTTATTTTTTATTATTAAAAGAATATACAAAAACCTTTTGAAATTTCGAAGTGCCTTTTCTTTCTCCCCCACCACTCTCAGACGGTTACCTTCTTAGAAATGTGCTGACACTTTCCCTTAAAGCCTCTACTCTCGCACCCATTTTCTTCCAACCATTTTCCAAAGTCACATTCGCTCTAGGGTTTTCATCTTCACTCCAAAACACTTTCTTTCTCTATCGTAACCGTTTTCAACACAATGTCTCGTCGCGGTGGGGGTAACCATCCCGACAAACGCCGGAGTCAACCATCTCCGGCACATTCTCAACCATCTTCTGTCAATGCTGCAGGATCAGGCCGTGGTGGTGGACGCGGTTCTCGCGGCGGACGCACTGCTGGTTCTTCTTCCTCTGCACAAGCACCTCCTCCTCCGTATGCTTCATCGCCGGTTACCGCTCCTCCATTTGTTGCAGCACCGGTTACCGCTCCTCCATTTGTTGCAGCACCGGTTACCGCTCCTTCATTTGTTGCAGCACCGGTTACCGCTCATCCATCTGCTGCAGCGCCGGTTGCTTCTTCATCTGTTGCTGCGCCGGTTGCTTCCTCGAGTTCGGCTCCAAATCTCCCTTCGCCGGCGACGGTTTCCACTGAGACGCTGACTGCTGAACTTAAACAGAAGGCTACTCTGCAATCGGCTCCGTCGTCTCAGAAGGCGATCAGGTTCCCTAACCGACCTGATTACGGTCGATTGGGAAAGAAGATTCAAGTTCGTGCTAATCATTTTCAGTTGCAAGTGGCTGATAAGGATCTACACCACTATGATGTTAGTATATTATGCTCATACATTTTTTTTGAACTATGATTTTAACTGTAACTATGATTTTAACTGTATAGCTTTTGTTTTTGTTTATTATGTTTTCAAGTTACAATGTGGTATAAATTTTGAGAGACTGAAAAGTTTGGTAAACGTTACTATTAGGTATCTATTTCGCCGGAGATTACTTCAAAAAAAGTGTGCAGAGATATTATCAAACAGTTAGTTAAACTGTATCTGGAATCCCAGTTGGACAACCGCATACCTGCTTACGATGGGAGAAATAGCTTATTTACTGCTGGACCGTTACCTTTTACTTCCAAGGTTTTTGTGGTTAACCTGACTGACGAAAATAGAGGTTCCTCTTCTGATACTGATAGGTGAGTTTGCTGCAACAGGGTTAGTAATGAGTAATATGGTTACTATTTGTAATATGTTATGAGTGGATTGCTGATTTTATTTATTGTCACAGGAAAAAGCGTGAGCGGGAGTTTAAGGTTACTATTAAGTTCGCTTCCAAGACGGATCTCTACAATCTTACTCAGTTTCTCCGTCGTATGCAGCTGGACTGTCCTTACGAAACCATTCAAGCTCTTGACATTGCTTTGAGGGCAACTCCATCTGAAAAGTAGAGTTATATTTTTCTTGAGTGCTGTTTATTTGAATTTGCTGAGTTTGTGTTTTAAGTGATTTTGTTATAATTGATGAATTGTGTTTCAGGTATATTGTTGCTGGGAGGTCTTTTTTCTCTCCGAGTTTGGGGCAACAGGGTCCTCTTGGTGGTGGGATTGAATATTACAGGGGCTTTTATCAAAGCATTAGGCCAACCCAAATGGGGCTTTCTCTTAACATAGGTTTTAGTAGTTTTACACATTGCTAATATTTTCTGATTGAGTAATCTTTAACTGAATTTAGATTGCAATTGTAGTCTCTGACCAATGATACTTTGTTTCAGATGTATCTTCAAGAGCTTTTTATGAACCAATACTTGTCACAGATTTTGTTTCCAAACATTTTAATTTTAATTTTTCAAGGCCACTGTCTGATCAAGATCGTGTCAAGGTATTTGTGATTTTTTATCTTATGAGCCATGAATGAATACTAGTAGCCTGAAATCCTTTGTTTTTACTTTGAGTCAGATCAAGAAAGCTTTGAGAGGTGTGAAGGTGAAACTATCTCATAGTGGAAAAATAAGGAGTTGTAAAGTGACCGGTTTCTCAAGAGAGCCACTCAGAGACCTAACGTGAGCAATTTGAATTTCTTTCTACCATTTTAGTTACCCCTTGTCTGGGGTAAATTTCTGTTCTATATGATAAGGTTTAGGTTCAGGGCTAGCCTTAAACTCCTTGGTTGAGCTTTATTTTTACCTCTCCACTTTTTGTTTGTAATTTATTTTTATGAGAAATATGAAGTTGTTTTAAAGTATCCACTTCTTCCTGCTCTCCAAGCTGGAAGTGACTCAAGACCTATGTTTTTTCCAATGGAGGTTTTACTCTTTCTCTGACTACATTATGTTGACAATAAGGTTCTGGACAATATTGTCAGACCTTAAATCTGCTGTGTTGTTTTTATTCATGGCAGCTTTGTCAAATTGAGCCTGGTCAAAGGTACTCCAAAAGATTGAATGAAGAGCAAGTAACGGCTCTTTTAAGGGCTACTTGTCAGCGTCCTCCTCAGAGAGAAAATGATATTCAACATGTAAGTTATGTTATAGATTAATATATTTTGCTAGAGAAGTTATATTTAGGTTGTGAAAGAGTCCATGCTTTTTTCCTTTCATAATTATCCTTCCATTTCTTTGTAGATTGTGAAGCAGCACCATTTCAACACTGACAAGGTTGTGAAAGAGTTTGGCATAAATGTTAGGGAAGAGCTCGCATTGGTTGATGCCCGTGTTTTGCCTCCTCCAACGGTATACACAGTTAATGCTCACTAAAATTTGACATTATCTTGATTGTAACATTTAATGTCTTCTTACTCCAGCTCAAATATCATGGAAGTGGAGGTGCATCAAAAATTGACCCTCAGATGGGTCAATGGAATATGATTAATAAGGTGTGGAATGACAAATCTATCTTTTTGAATGAATGCTCTCAAATTCTTGTGGTCTCTATACATCACATTTATGCATGTAATAGAGTTTTGTTCTCATGAGATTTTAAAATCTCGTGGTCTCTATACATTACATTTATGCCTATGATGGGTTTTGCTCTCATTACATTTATCAGTGTCTGTGCTTTTCTTGGATTTGATTCCCACGTCTGGTATTAGATTTCTTTCATATGACAATAGTTAGATTGTTAAGGATGACAAATGGTTAGAATGTTGAACAAACTAGTTGACCAGTAGATGTTTCAATGTTTTATATTAGGTTTCTTTCTTATGTTGATGGTCACATTTTTGAAATAGTGTCAACCTCTTATTTTGTAGAAAATGGTCGATGCTGGCAAGGTGCAATTTTGGACTTGCCTTTGCTTTTCAACTAGAATGAATCCAACTCAATTTTGTGCTCAGTTGGTTAATATGTGTCAGAGTAAGGGAATGGTATGTTTTTTTTTTTGGTATCATTTTATGAGATAATTATATATATGCTTCCTATAATTTTTGACAATTTTTATTTGTTTGCCTGTACCAGCTTTTCAACCCAGATCCTCTGATACCTATAAACCCTGCAAATCCAAATCAAATCGAAAGAGAGCTTGTTGAACTTCAAAAGAAGTGCAAGACAGCACTTGATAGGACAAAGCAGGAGGGAAGACTGCAATTGTTGATCATAATTTTGCCTGATTTTAAGGGTAAATCATATGGTAAGTTTTTTGTCTGTTCTAAATCAAATTATAAGGTTTTGTTGTATTATGTTGAATCAAATTATTTTGTTTTGCAGATAGAATAAAGCGTATATGTGAGACTGACTTGGGAATAATTTCCCAATGCTGTCAACCGCGACAAGTGGTAAAGATGAATAAACAATATCTTGTTTCCCAATGCTGTCAACCGCGACAAGTGGTAAAGATGAATAAACAATATCTTGAAAATTTGGCGTTAAAGATCAATGTTAAGGTTCAAGTTATTCAGTAAATGTCCACTTGTTTTGCTGCTTGATTTTATTTCTTCAAGTTTTAAACATGTTATTCTTGATTGTGTATAGTCTGGAGGCCGTAACACAGTGTTAAATGATGCATTTGAGAAAAGAATTCCTCTAGTAACTGATATGCCAACAATAATATTTGGTGCTGATGTAACACATCCTCAGCCGGGAGAAGACTTGAGTCCCTCTATAGCTGCAGTAAGCTTTGTGTTTCTCCATAGCTTATGTTTAACATTTTTTTTTATGAAATCATATTTAGATATCAATCTCTGTTTGCTTGTTGTATATTGTAAGGTTGTGGCATCAATGGACTGGCCTTGGGTCACAAAATACAGAGGAATTGTTTCTGCCCAGGTTCATCGCGAGGAGATAATTCAAGATCTCTTTAAAATAACAGTGGATCCTCAGAAGGGCAATCGGCCTGCTGGAATGATAAGGTAATTTTGTTAGATTTGTGGATTCCTCATGATGAGACCATAGCTGATTTTCTTTTAATTTTCAGGGAGTTGCTTGTGGCTTTCTATAAATCAACTGGGTGTAAGCCTAAAAGGATTATATTTTACAGGTTGGAGTTGGTTTTTTCTAAATGATACATATTGATGTATATGTGTATATTATAACTTAATTTAATTTTATATATGATTTATTTTTCATTGTTAATTTCTGCTTATCAGAGATGGAGTAAGTGAGGGCCAGTTCAGTCAGGTTTTGCTTTATGAGATGGATGCGATTCGAAAGGTATGACATAAGCTAACTTTATACTTTTTATTTGTTATCATAGTGGCTAAACTCAGGGAACTGAGGCCGTGTGGGTTTAAACCTGCATTCTAACAGATAGCTTTACATCAGTTAACCACTGCCCTGTGCACTACAGTGCAACTCAAAATTTAACTACTGCTGTACACAGTGAGCACAAACACTCTTGCTGTTTTTTCTTGCATCAACTTTGCATCCCTGTATTGTAGGCAGAATTTAGCACTTCTCAAAGTTGATTTTTTTGTTGTTTTGTTGTTCAGAAGTATACACCACTAAATTCTCTCTTTAATTTTAAATTTTTTTTTATCAGGCTTGTAACTCAATAGAGGATGGCTATCTACCTAAAGTTACTTTTGTAGTGGTCCAAAAGAGACATCACACCCGTCTCTTTCCTGTCAACAAAGGAGAGACAGATAGAAGTGGAAATATTATGCCAGGTTTTTTCAATTTATTTCTCGACGCAGCTGGTATATATTATGATTTCAATATACTGCTTTTTGCTGACTTTGTTGTTCTAAATTGTCAAAGGAACCGTGGTGGACACAAGCATTTGCCACCCTAGGGAATTTGATTTTTACCTTAACAGCCATGCTGGAATTCAGGTAATACTAGCTATATCATTTAACTTTATGCCATTGTTTACTATTTGTTGCTCAATTGCCTTTTAATGGTTCTGTGTTATTTGCATTTGGATGTCTTCTTTTTGCAGGGGACTAGTCGACCAACACATTATCATGTGCTGTATGATGAAAATAAATTCACTTCAGATCAGCTTCAGAGTTTGACTAATAACTTATGCTACACGTAATGATATCATTTGTTTTTTTAGTCTTGTATAATGTCTTCTAAATTTCTACTGTTTTCATTTAATTTTAGAAGCCTTCTAATACTATTTTTTTGATCAGTTATGCGAGGTGTACTCGATCTGTCTCAATAGGTTTGTTACTCGATTTCCTTTGCTTGTTTTGTTGTCGGCTATACAAAACTTTATGGGTAATGTTAACTCGTGCCCTTAGGGCACATGTTAAGAAATTCATAAATAGAAAATTTGTATTGGAAAAGTAATAAAAGAATTAATTATAAACTTTTAATAAAAATAATACACAAGTTCCAAGAAAACATTTCTACATTTAGTTCTTAACATGTGCCCCTAAGGCACAAGTTAATATTACCCAAACTTTATTTTAACTAAAATGTTTTTTTATGCAGTTCCTCCTGCTTATTATGCACACTTGCTAGCTTTCCGCGCTCGATACTACATAAGTGAAGTCGAAAATTCTGATTCCGGTTCTGCAAGTGGTAATAGGAGTACCACCAACTTTGTGTCGACTCTACTACCGTCTATCTTGGATAACATCAAAGAAGTAATGTTTTACTGTTGATCTTGATTTGTCGTACAAGGTTTGAGGATAGATCTAGGAGTTCGAGGATAGATATAGGAGTTTGAATATTCACAATGCCATTTTTGGATATATAACTTATGCTGCTTTCTGTTTTTTTAGTTGGACCTTATTTCGTTTGAATACAGTTTAGTACTAATAGATAGATTTTGGTTGCCGGTCATGTTTGCCACCATGAGTGGACGACGGTTATTTTGTTTGAATATGGGGTAGAACGACTAGATAGCTTTTGGATACAGAATATGTGGTTACCATGAGTTTTTGGTAAATATTTTTGTCTGTCATTTTGAAGCTATTATTATAGCTGAAATTACTACTACACTGAATCTGTTCTATTTTTGTCTGTCATTTTGAAGCAATTATTATAGCTGAAATTACTACTACATTGAATCTGTTCTGGGAAAGTACAGTGATAATATTTGAACTGTCACAAGTAACAAAAAAGAAGTCTTCCATGCGTTCTTTTTTGATAGAATTTGCCGCTGCATCCTCCAATATCTTTTAGTAAGATAGTCTCATTGTACGATAATTCCTTATATCTTTCACAACTAGATATAAAGACAAGGAACAAACCTATTGAGTCCTGTAGTATGTTTCATCCATGAAGAACAGTATAAGAAGAAAAAAAAAAAGCATATTAACATAGTTCACTTAAATCCCTTTCCGTGTCCTTGTAGTATGTTTCACATTGGTAATTTGTTTGCATGGTTTTTTTGAACTTGCTAAGAAAAGCAAAACCGCAATGTCCAAAATACAAGTCTTACATTGGTTGGTTGGAGATACGCCCATCTTCGGTCATGCCATTTTTCAAAAATTATAGTAGCTTTGAAAAGCAAAACCACAATGTCCAAAATACAAGTCTTACATTGGTTGGTCGGAGATACGCCCATCTTCGGTCATGCCATTTTCCAAAAATTATAGTAGCTTTGTGCATTGTGATCACAACGTGTATATGTGAACCCACCTATTTCTTAATAAAGTGCTAAATTTAAAACTTTTTCCAAAAATTATAGTGATAGCCAGCTTTGTGAATTGTGATCACAATGTGTATATGTGAACCCCCACCTATTTCCCAAAAAAGTGCTAAGTTTATAACTTATTAAGAGAGTGGTGTGGTGTCCCAAATACATAATGCAATAGATTACACATTATTTAATAGTTCCAAAATAAAGAGAGAATATTGATTTTATTAAATTATTCTTATTAATTATTGATTTATTTGAACTAATATTAATGTAAAATAAAAAAATCAATAAATTAAAAATATTAATTAGATAATATAATTGAAAGATAAAAAGTAAAATTGTATGAATAAGTTAAAGTACTCTTATATACTTTAACTTAACAATGCAATTTTATTTTTTATTTGATTTCACTATCGACATGTAATTTACCATTTATTAGGGTCTTCTCAGCCTCAAGTGTTAATCTCTACCTTTCACGTAGAGGAAATCAAATTCATGAATAAAAATTTAGCTAACAAATTAAATCTGTATTATTTGATAAAATTAGCACTTAAACAAATTTGAAATTCTAAAATAATATAAAAAATGTTTAACTAATATATACATTTTCAATTAAGATAAGTAGACAATTAAAAAATAACATTTAAATTAACTTATCAAAATAAACTATAACCCTGTAAAAATAAATATAAAATAGTGAAAAATAATGTTATTAAATATATTTTTTCTTCAAAGATACAAGTTATAAATTGAAAATAAAATTAAAAAAAAATTTATTAAATTATTTTTTCTAAAGAACATCTAAAATACTCTTTTACGACTTTGGAGGAGGTACCTTGAAAAAAGAAAACAAAATTAATAGAAAGAATATAAAGATTTTGATGAGAAGGATTTTGAAAAAATTATTTTTACTTAAAAATTATTATTATTTTTGGTTAAAAAAACTAAAAAATGCATTAGAAGAAATATAATTTATGTTATATTATTTCAAAAATTAAAAATATGTTACATATAAATATATTTTTTTTATCAGTTTATGCAAAATTATTTTTTAACAAAATATTAAATATTTCTCTATACTACTTCTAAAAACTTATTTTTCCAAATTTTTGGCTTTTTCTTGCCCTCCAAATTCTATAAGAGAAAATGTCAAACTACTCTATTTTTAGGTCGTCTTGAAAATTCTTGGAACCACGTATGAAATAAATTATTGCCGAATTAATCGTTTTCTTGTAGGTTTGTCTGCAATTTATTTTTTTAGAATTTATATGTATATATTAAAAGAAGTAATTGAAATATAAATCTCGTAAAAAACATTTAACCATCAAATAGTCCTCCTTATTATTTGGTTTCATGAAATTCTTCTAAAAGATCTTAAAAATATATTAATATGATTCTTTTAATATAGAATATATCGATTAAAAAAAATTATAACTAAACAGATATGGATTTTTCACTGTTGTACTCCCTTTTGAAATCAAAAATTTCATAATACCCTACTTTGAAAATTATTTATCGATATACCCCATTTGCAGTAGAAACTCGTCCATTGAATGACCAAGAATATATTTTAAAAAATTACATTGTGTGAGTTCGTCCATTGCAAGGACGAGCTTGTGAAACTGAAAAATTTCATATATGAGTTCGTCTACTGCAAGGACGAGCTTATGAAGAGATCTAATTTTTTTTCTTCTAATTTTAATTAATAATTTATTTATTTAATGCATATTAATATAGATTAAACATATACCTTAAATATATTATTTGTATTCCATTTTAAAGAAAACCAATATTTCCAAATATATTTTCAAACATCTACCTTAAAAATGAAAATGAAAATTCTAATAATATATATATATATATATATATATATATATATATATATATATATATATATATATATATATATATATATATATATATATATATATATATATATATATATATATATATATATAAAACATATTTTTCATTTTCATTTTCATTACAATTTTTAAATTTAAATAAAATTTATAACTATTTTTAGAATTTTAAATTTCTTCTAAACACATAAATTGGAATAATTTTCCCAAACATTTATTATTTTTTAAAAATATAACTTTAAACCTTAAAACAAACATATTTGGAAATATTGATTTCCTTTAAAATAGAATACAAATAATATATTTAAGATAGATGTTTAATCAATATTAATATACAAATTGGATATCTCATAGGCTCGTCCTTGCAGTGCACGAACTCATATATAGAATTTTTCAGTTTTACAAATTCGTCCTTAATGAACGAACTCACACAATGTAATTTTATAAAGCATATTCTTTTAAAATAGGGTATTATGAAATTTTTTATTTCAAAAAGGGTACAACAGTAAAAAAAAAAAAAATCTAACAGACATTCAACTCTCACATGATTTTTGTAAAAAAGAGTTGAAAGTTTTAATGAGAAAAATATTAGGGACAACTAAGTAGTAGTATATGTCCAAATTTAATGATATGGAATGGACGACTAATATGACTGATTTGATATACGACAAACTTTTTAGTTTCTAATCTTGATGATCATTCCATATTCTTTTGTTTTTTCTTTTCACTCTGAGCCCTAAATATGTGGCAGAGGCTGACAAGAGCACTGCTACAACTTTTTGTCACCACCCATCCCACTCTTTTTGAGATCTTATCATAAAAAGAAAACTATTGCTTTGCATAAAACTAATTAAGATATATTAATAATAACAATCAAATGTTATTAAATGTATTTTTTAAATGAATCAATAGTCATTTTTTAAAGTAGATAACTAGTTAAATACCCGTGAATTCGTACAGGTAGATAAAACTTTGTCTAACAGTCTTGTTTAATATGCAATATAATGAATACAATAAATTATAATAAATAATAGAAAAATTATTTATCCATTAATAAGTTTAGAGAAGATATAATAAAAAGTATTAATATATTATCAAAACAATATCCAAAAAGCAACAACTTCATGATATACAATTAGAACAATATATGAACTTTCAAAAAAATAAAAGTAAGTTAGAAAAACAGTTGCCAATATGGTGTGAAAAACTACTAACAGAATAACAGTTGCAATATGGTGTGAAAATTATTAAATAATTCCATGACAGAATACCTATAACATGTAACTTATGAAAAAATTTGATTATTGTGATAAAACCCCACCCATAATTTGAAAAGCAATGGCAATGTGATTCATCGATAAAAATGTTAATGACAAAGGCAATGTGATTCAATAGCAATGATATTTTAGGTATACTATAACAATATGCAATACAGTGCGTAAGTATTGTAACAAAATCAAAGAATTAAACATTCAATTTTCAACTGATTTTTAATGTATCATAATATAGAGCAATTCTATAAATGTAACTATATGTTTTAGTTACACTATGCCAATTGACAACACATGCTTACATATGCACATTGACATTAACTTGATATCAAGACAGAGTTGTAAAAGATTAATAGACATTGTCGCTAGGCGCAACAATAATACGACATTAGATTTCTAAACTTGTGAGTCGACAATATTTTGTTGCACTAACAATCACCGTAGATTCATTCAAAATGAAAGGTAACAATCATAGTTGGACATCAGTAAGTTAATGAAATTGCATTACATGTTCACTTGAGATTGTAAATGAAATTCATAACATGTATTCGCAACGTTTACAACTTCATGAAAATAGTTACAGCATGTAAAGTTGGATCATTGCAAAGATTATAATGTTACAAAAGTCAACAAAATTCAACAATAAACCAATTTTTTTGACTTGTTTTTACAACATTTAGTAATAGTAATAAAAGCACTTTTTACCGTTACTAATAATTTTTTAACATAGTTGGACTTAAATAGTTTAGTTCTAAATAAAATGGAGAAGCAGGTAATCATGATTCACTAAAAAGACAGGCAGGATAGAAAGGTCGATGAGTTAAAACTTGAAAACAGTCCTAGTTGTAAAGTTAGTTATGGCCATCCTAAAAAATTGGAGGTGA